ACAGCGCAAGCACAACAGAGCCAGGGATGTAACAAGAAGCAGAGCGCTGCCTTGCTGAAGCCTCATTTGCTCTTTCAAGGCTTCATATAGATCTACTGGTTGTCTCATGAAACTTTTTTTATTATGAACTTCCTTGCATAAAGGTCATTTATGGGTTTCTTCTATATTCCTTCTCCATTGGAAAAACAAAAGGTGACATGAAATAGACTTCACTCTAGCAGCGCAAACATTAGGAATGCCTGAAATTTTTTACTGCACAGGATGATGCAGCAGATATCCTTCCCTAAATCATGGACAAATATCAAGGACCAACTATGTTATTTTGGCACCCATTTCAAAATCTTGTACAAAAAAAATGTACCTGCCTTCAAAATTGTACTGATGTATTATAGGCTTTTAAGACTACTTAATAGCATGGTCCACACTTTGAAGTTGTGGAACTTAAATCTCCAGCATCGCTGTGAGTATTCTATGTCAGACAGAAATGCACTAGATCCTACTATTCTATGTTGATATTTTTATTAATTTTTAATTATTTTTATATTTTGTTTATGTAAGTACTTCTGTAGATCTACTCCCATGAAAAATGGGCATGGACGAAATTTAAAGCTGTTTTCTGAAAATCACCAGCTGGAAAAAGTAAAAATAATCAATTTCAGAAAGAAAATTGATACAGAATAAGAAATTATTTGTTAGCCTATTTGGAGAGAGAGAGAGAGAGAGAGGGAGAGAGAGGGAGAAGGAGAAAAGCAACTTCATGTGTTTAATTTTTAAAAGGCTTTGATCTTAAAAGTGATGTTTTCCTCCTTACGCAAAAGTACATACTGCACCTGGAAGGAAGTGACATGGTACTCTTTTGCTGATTGCTGGAAATTATGACACATGAAGAGCCATTTTGAGATAATGTCTTCTATTACCATCCTTGTATTAATATTCCTGAACACAAACTACTGAACATTCAACCACCTCAGAAAGCAGTTCATTCAAAATAATATCTAGATTGAAAATAGACAAGAGGACCCTCAAATCCTGATACTAGAACTATAGCTGATGCTTGTTTGTTTGTTTGTTTACATGGTTGCCACCTCACCATAGCAACTCTAGGCAGCTAACAGTACATAAAAGCAACCAAAAAACAACAGCAATAGACCACAATATACCTAACCCCAGATCCATAAAATATATACCTAAATGGCTGCCAAGTTGTAGCATGGGCATACTGAGGTACACCCATAACCACGTGTGCTACTATGTTCTGGACCAGTTGCAGCTTCCAGATGGTCTTCAAGGGCAGCCCCATGTGGAGAGCTTTGCAGTAATGTTATCATCTGTACAAGGCAGTAGCATTATAAATCAAGTCGAGAACAAAGTACCCACCTAATTACAGGCTTTGTTTTATAAAGCCTGTGCACAGCACAGGAGTGTCAAGACAAAAAAGGCAGATAGTTCTAAATAAATTCTACATATCCATTAATTTTTAAGCAAAAGGAAAATAATACACAAGTCTAGATAAAGTTCTCTTATCTCAAATCTCTAGACTACGCCATGTAAAACACTTCAGGAGTGCTAAATGCGTATGGCATCATTGTCTTCCCCAAAGTTCTACTCCATTATATTATGGCAACAAAGGAGCAATCTCGGAATTTTATACATCTTCAGATCACTGTTTTCTATTCAACGAAGAGACTAACCTTTCTCCATACAACAAAAATAAACATTCTGACCATGGGGAAGATAGACTTTTTTGTAGAAAGGGGCTTCAGGAAGATGTTTCCAACTACATTGAATGGCAAGGGTTCATAGACTATATTATTAAAGTTTCCCAAATAATAAGTAATTCAAGATATGCACTTTTCAAATGTCAGTGTATATAAAGATATAAATATTCAGATAAATTGTCTATATAATAAATGTATTCTTAGCTACAACATAATACAAAGCTTTCCTCTTATCTCTAGCATACAAATTTCACCATTTTGAAATTTATCATAGGAGGAGCTTCCAGAAAATATATAATCCCGAATGTAACTAGATACCTAATCGAGAAGAGATGGCCTATAAATTCCTCAGTGTACACTGGATAAACTGTAAACCATTACATGTAGCCCATTGCAATGATTAAAAGAATTAAGTGGGCAGAGTAATTCCTTCATTACAGATCTACTATAATAAAAACATACTGTAACTAAATTCTCAAACCGGATATGGTGTGGATACCATTTAGTCAATACTTATCTTCAGTCACAGATATGAAACTGAAGATCTTGATAGGGATATAAAAAGATGGACCTAGTTCTATGTAAGGATACATTCCAATGTGAAATGTTCACATTTACAAATGGAACATTTGCAAAAGATAGAATTTCTTTTTATGTACTGTATGTTTCTGCTACCTTTAAGCTAAGCCTCAGTCTTGTTGCCATTAGATCTCTCAGATCCAGAACTCAAGATAATATTTTAAAATTATCTATACAAGCTATTCAATCTTTGGAATGGGAAGCTGAGAAGATCATTGCTTTTCCTAACTCATCCCCTCAGTTCTGTTGAACAATGCTCATTTAGAAGTAAGGAAAGAGATGAAACATTTTTTTCCATACAATATTTTTTGTTCATCACTGGAATTTGGGATGAGGAAATGAAGCTGCTGATAATTCGTTATTCAACTGGAATCAGAAGGAAATAGCAGTTTGCTTCATTTATATTTATATATTTTTACAAATTTTAGAAGCTATAGTACCTATAACACATGGTAAAAAAAACTTACAACTTTCAAAGAAATTAGAATATATCTCTGGAAGCCTGGCTGAATAAGTATTCTGAGAATTATAGTCCCAATATTATTGAAATATATAGTTGATACAATACTAATTTATGGTAATCCCAGTACATCTTGGAGGATGCTAGGAAGAAGGATGTTTATGGGATTTGAAAGCATAGAAATAGTGTGATTGGGTAAGTGCAAATTGTTCTGCAGTAGTATTTATTACATCATCTACTTTAAATATTTTATTTCATAAAAAAACAAGTTTTTAAATTAATGCAGATTTTGATTCCTACTACTTTTTCATCTACTGCATGTTCACCAGTTTGCATTTTATACTATGCTGAAGCTTCTTAGTTCTGATGAAAGACAGAATACCACGATCTTAAGTACAATATACCACATTTGCCATCACACCCTCTCATTAATCTTCATTTGTCCAATTGTATCCTTTCATTGTCACGCAAATAGAAGATGAAACTGCTGCACCCTGCTGCAACAAAGAAGACTAAGCCTGTTAGAAACTCCAGGGTGCCATCACAGATCTCAAAGTATCACTTCATTCTCAGCCCTTATTCTTTAGATATAGCAGCTAGTGTGACTGACACTTAGATCTCACTCAGCAGGAGTTAGAACTATCCAATTCCTTAGCTACACATAACTTACTTCCTATTGTGAAACAATCATGGAGCTGTAACAACTTCCTCTGTTCTAGTCTGCCATCACAAATAGAGGCCATGGACCTTCTTGGTGATGGCAACCAAAAACAGAAAATGTTTGCCAGGTGAATTTCTGTTTCCCTCATAGGCAGGAAGACATTCCACTCAGTGATAACTAAAGGACACTCTCCCCAGAAAGGATTGAAGCTGGCAGCTTTTTAAAATGCAAATCAAAACTAGGACCGAACAAATTCAACGTTCAAAGAAGGAATCTCTAACTGATGGAATATAACTTCACTTATAAGAAAGGATTTTCTTTTTTCTTCTCATCAGTAGCAAGTTGGGTTCAGCTTAGTCTGTTGCTTTTGAAATGTAACAAGCCTGGGAAGCAGTTCAAAACCTCAGAAGAGCAGGTGAAAGAATGGAAAAAACACATAATGGTAAAAAGACCACATCATTTGCATGCAACAGGTCCAATAATCAATTAAAATGTCATCCGTCCCTTGGCTTCTATTTTAAAATCATGAATTTTAATTTAAAAAAATCAATTCTCTACTGCTGGTAATCTTAACAAAGTCAAATGATCATAATTACTTTGCACAAAAGTAGTAACATAGGCCACAACCATCACTTACCTTGTCTATCATATCTGGCCGGTTTGTAGCTGCCAAAACTGTCACATCCTTTAACTGTTCTATCCCATCCATTTCAGTCAACAATTGTGCCAAGACACGGTTAGTAACATTCGCAGAACTTGAAGAGCTGATTAGAAGATAATAATAATAATTTTTTAAAAACCCACAGCAGTTTATATTAAAGCACAGAATACTAGAAATCTGTAAATTCTATTCAGATTGATTTGCTCTAATTGATTCAAAGTTCCATGGAACAAAGATACCAGTTACATTACTTTAAAAATGACAATATACTTTGATGATGCTGGAATTCTCTAACTTTTCTCTCAAAAATTTTTGTCACCCAAGGATGGATGGATGGATGGACGGACAGACAGACAGACAGACAGGTAGATAGGTAGTTCTGTCTTGCATAATCCAGCTGTTCTCAAAAGACAAAACAAGAGAGAGAGTTTGTAGCAAAAATTGCTTTAGCACTGTGTTTTAAACTTGGGATGCTACATCACAACACAGGACTATCCCAATATAGAAATCTTTCGTTTAGCCTGTAGGTTCAGCATTCTTTCAAAACTAAATGACAGCCTGAAGGCTTTGCTTCCTTAGTATCAAAGATGCTTCTCTGAATCTGTACTTTGATTTTATTTTCAAGTCCTGCCATACCATGAAGACACGGTAGCTAATCCTCTGGTTCCTTCAACTTCTGAAATAGAAAGTTATCATTTGTTTTAAAAATGAAATCATAATTACCAAAATTAAGGACTAATCTTGTGTACTTCCAAATGTGTAAGAGCTGAAACTGGGGGTGGAGTCATTTCTGTCTTTTAAGATCCCCAGCCAATATATCTGCAAATATTGCACAAACATC